GTTTCTTTGCTGATTTCAAGTGTTGCATTCTCCTGGTGGTTAGTCTGCTGACGATTCTGACATTTGTTTCATATATTGTGAAAGGATCAGCTCTTCTTATGACAAAACTATGTCTTTTTTTCGCGGCATAGCAATGGTTTTGTGTTGTTTATCAGCGGCTTGTTCCGTAGACTTCCGCTCCTAGTTCATGATGAAATTGAAATTCCAGCTTTTTAGCTTTTCAGTTTCCCGAGTTAACAGCTTACCCACAAAAAACATTCATTGACTGGATCACGCACATTTTGGGGATGGATTTGAAGTCACTAGATTGTACGTGGACAAGGAATATGCCCGTAAAATTCCTTTGCCTTACCATTTAAGGGAAACAGCGAATCATTTTTGGAGGAATTCTCTATTTTTATGTGTTCGCGATAAGCCTAGTGGTCTTTTCCCGTACTTTTTACTGATGTTGATTAGTGGGAAATGGCTACCTCCTCTGTATGTTAGCTCATTTGATTGTCATGAGAGCTCGATGGAGCGGTATTATCATTCGTTGGTGCGGAATTTCTGTGTTATTATCATTCTCTCTCTCTGTGTGTGCATGTTATTGTTTCATGTTTTTCTGGATATTAAAAAGTTTTAATGTTTGGTTTGCTCAGGACGAAACTTTTTTGGGATAGTTGTTCGCTTTCCTGCTGTTTTTGATGCTTTTTTGGCCTCCTTTTTTCAATTTTCACGCTTTCTCGGCCAAATTTGACACCTTTCCGGCCTAGCTTTTGCATCCTTCCAGCACAGTTTGGTACATTTTTGGCTTATTTCCGTTTCTTTCATTCAGTCCTTTCCTTCTTCGCTTTCTAGGTTGCGCCCTGGCACAGCTTCTGAACGCATAGTTTTTGAAACGGTGGTTCCGATAGGCGATAAATTATAGTTGCCAGTTGGCAATACGAGTGCTATCTACGCTGTATTTCAGGGAAACACACAGGGAGCCTGCATCGTGACGCCAAGGTAGTGCCGGTAGCGAGAGAAAGCTCCCGCGGACAGATAATTTCTCACTGAACAGGATGTGACAAGGATATCGCATCATCAGCTGATATCTGCGCTAAAAACGAGAGAGAATGTGAGGATCGCTGACAAACTGCCCACCGGTCAAAGCTACTGGAAGAGCTGCATGGATGTGGGAGCCAGAGGATAAATTGGCAGCTGTTCTTGGTGTTTTCCAGACGGCAGTTATGTTTGGTGTACAGCTGCTCAAGTATTCAAGTATATCTGGTGAGCGAGAAAACCAAGGGCCGCTGCTGAAGAGCACAAGGGACCACTTATGTCACGGTGTAGCCTGCACACGCTCGATGTGGGGTTTCACATATCGACTAGTGATCTGTGAAGGAATTTCACCCATAGCACCGGAAAGTTAGAAGGATTCGAGCCAATGGACATGTTACTCATCATGTAGGGCTTAGATTTTGAAGAAGAAACGAGCTGTTGCTGGAAAATCGGTCGAGAAGCTCTCTGGAAAAAAATCGATCCAGAAATTCTCCGCGAAAAAGTCGATTTCGGAGGCACAGTATCTTGTTTGGGATAAGTTTCTTTTGAAAGAGATTTTTCCTGAAAAATCTTTAGCGGAATTAACGTTTCTGTATGATAATCACAAATGGATTTTCTCCCCTTCCTCTTCCAAAAGCGGTATTCGAAGGCGCTGCTATTTTTAGCAAAAAATAGCCAAGTCTTATGTGAAACTTGGAACCCCCGATTTTCCCCAGTTTACTTTTTTAAAAAGTTTTCGAAATTCTTCCCGGGAAAAGTTCTGAAAAACTTTCCGAAAAAAGAGTTTTGGAAGAAATGTTCGCAGAAGGCAAAAGAATGTTTTTAGTTCGTTTTGAGTGGTGCAATGCTCTTTCTCTGCCGAACAAATCGATGGCAAAATATGAAATAGCAGTCAGCGCATGCAATTAAGACAGCGATCAAACGGCGCAATACAGTTGTTATCGATTAATTTCATAAAACCAAATTTTGTTTGTTTTAATTAGAATGATTTCTAAATAGTCCCCCGTTCAGTAGCTGAACTATTTTGGCTTCCAAGGTCTACCTGATTGCTACAATCGGCTTTTTGCTAGGAAAGGCCGCCCGGGCCATCAATGTGAGTACCCTCCATGTTAGTGATGTTACTGGGATGCTCCCAAACGCCCAGGTTCTTCGATCCCAAGCTGCATACCTGCAGTGAGTATCCACCACTCGTTTTCTATATATGTCTGTACCGCATTATCTTCAGAGTTTTCGCAGATAGTTATTTCCTCGCAAATACCATCCGCTAATATCCGGTTGAACTACTTATATAGTTTGTACATTGCATGCAGTAGAACATAATTTAATTTTAAAAAATTTTAAACAATTTAATCTGAATTAAAGCAGTTTATGTTAAAAAACTTAATTAAATTAATTAAATCAGATTAATTTTAAGCAATTTTTAGTTATTTCTTCGTAGGTGCCATCTGCTAATATTAGATTTAAATTAATTGTGCAACTTCAGCAGTAGAACATAGTTCGAATTTTATTTCGAATTGAATTAAATTTGATTAAACATTTTAAGTTAAATGTGCCTCAAGCGTCGTTCGCTGTGCTTCGGTTACGTACGTCAGTTCCAGTGACAATGTTTTTTTCACAATTTAGTTTTTTTGAATTTTTTTGAAGATGCGGATGATGCTATTGAGATGTTTGTGTGCGCCAGGCGCAACACTACGAGGATTTATCGGCCTGTTCGTCTTGGCTACACTGTGGAGTATTGCTGGCACTGCCGATATACTGATCATGCCGAGCTCACTGTACCCGGTACATCGTTATACGATGCGAGTTCTGGCCGAGGAATTGGTGAAACGGGGCCACGACGTCAGCTGGGTTCAGTACGGCTTCCGAAGAGTAAATTTTTTCTTTCTTATTCCCCTATTAAATAATTATTATAATTTGTAAGTTAGCTCGTCATAGACTGAGTATTTCAAACATTTAGGGGTAGGGGGGGGGGGTGGAGATGCCCCAGCATACTATCGCGACCTTAAAGGTTTGTGGGTTAGACTAGTGTGCGTGCTCTGTGCGTATGTGTGGGTAGTCAGCATCTCGTTAGAGGTATATATTTATAACTGTATGCCGCCGAAACTAGGGTTATACAACATAAAAGGAAGTAGTGGAAACAATGAAAAAAGGGCGGTGAGGTTCTGGAGAGTCGAAGCTCCCCAGGACAGGATGGAGTGGCGAGAACACCGACTTTTGATCCCAGAAGTGGAGAGGGGTGCTTTTATAACTCAGTGGCCACTGATCACAAAGACTGCATAACTTCAACGAGGGTAGCTGTCCAAAGATTGAACGGGGGACCAGGGGTGTTGGATCATATTGATACAATTGCTGCTTGCGCAGTTACTGACAAAAAGTCATAAATCATTATGTGAAAAATTATGTGACAATAAATAGCTTTGTCCAGCTAAAGCGTTGCCAAAATGCTTCTTTTGAAAGGACTCTGTAGTTTACTTCAGGATAATTACCAGGCAATGCACCATTGTTCAAAATAGCTGAAGAATTTGCCAGTTACGTGGTTAAAGAATTTGAACCCTTACACCCAGTTTTTTGTTTTTCAGTCCAAATTATCTCTTCCATCTGATGTCCACGAAACATTCTGGCGAATTTCATCATCAAATCCGGAAATCCGGGATCTGTATTTGCACCGGAATCATTCGGTTCATTCACGAATCTGGACTACTGATTTCAGTGATGATGCTGAACGTACCACTGCATGGCTGGCAAGCATCGAAATGTGCGATCAGGTTGTGTGTTGTGTTCTCTGTCGTGTATTATTTTGGTTATTTAGAATAGTTGAAAATTATGGCTTTTTTCCGTAATTATGTCAGCCTGACAGCTCTTTCATTTGTACTGACTAATTTAGCATGGCGTAGCGGTTAGCTTGCTGATCATGGTCGTAGTTCTGTCTCCTGAAAGGATTACCAGCTCAGCGGTTCTTGTAACGGAAGCCCTGTTATTTTAGTTTGTATGTTAGCGATCTTTTTTTACTATGCGTAAAAAGGCCAGTAAGAAGGCCACCGATGCGCTAACTCGATTGTGTGGAGTATTGTGGATGAGGCGAACTTTATCGTTTCAGGTTTTATCGATTCATAGATCAGAATTCAATGCTTTGGTAGCCAAGAAATTCACAGCGGTGATTATTGATGATCTGTATAATCCATGTGGCTTGCTGTTGGCTGGCCTTCAAAAAACTCCCTTCATCTATTGGTCAATGAGCGCCTTGCGAACAGAGTCAGCTTGGGCACATCAGAGTCCAAGTCCACCAAGTTATCTTCCTGTGCCGGGTTCCTGGTATGTTTTGTGATTTTATGAAAA